AAGAAGGACGCTTTGTATATTTAAGGAAAAGCAAGGAGGCCAGTGGAGCAAAGTAAGAAAGGGGGAGTGGGAGTGTTAATGGAACAAGATGCAAGATGTGCAAGAAATAAACACTTCTACTTCAGAGCATAAAAATATGAACATTAAGTCCCTTTTTTTATCCTAACCTAAGAACATTTTTCCCCCCATTGGTTTTAGAGGGAGAGGAAAAGAGAGAAACAGAGACACCTGAACCAGGGATCACACACCCAACATCGTAAGTATGTGCCCTGACTGGTAATTGAACCTGTAACCTCTCAGTTATGGGACAATGCTCCAACCAACTGAGCCACACTGGCCAGGGCAGATCAGGTCCTCTTTTCCATTACATCTAGCAATTACAAAGAAAGAACTAAACTATGTGTGTCTTTTCCTTTCCTATTTTCAAATTACATTATGCTCACAACAGCTCAGTGCATTAAGCTACTAGGCCCTCAATAAATTTCTGTTGATTTTTAGAATTGACAATGTAAATCACTTTAACACAGTGTCATATTTGGAAAATTTCTGCTACTGAAAACTTGGGAAGGAATTTATTGAAAGGACAGAGTGAAGAGACAGTGTAAAAAATTTGCAAAGTGGAAGAAGTGGTAGGTGGATCAAACACTGTCGTAATTCCACACTCTTACCCTTTTAAAGTAATACTGCCGATGAAACTCAAAAAAGTTTTTTTTTAAATCATAGAGAAAAATGTCACCTCATATTCTAAGGGTAATAATAAGATAATATAACAAACATTTATTCAAGAGTGTTGTTCAAATGTAGTCCCCCTAGGAAGCAAAACACTAAAATTCTGTCCTTCACCAAACTCTAGCCAGCTCTTCTGAGCCCTCTTCTAGACTAGCCCTCAACTTTGACTTATAAAGACTTGAACGAAGCACTAACGTAGTTTCTAACAGCTCAAAGCCACCTCCCTGGGATAATCCTGGCTCCTCTTAAAGTGCCCATCTGAGAAAATGCAAGGTTCACAAAATAATTCGTGTGTCGTTTGTTCCACCCAACACATGAAGATAGAGTCCTGTGTCCCAGTGCTGTGGGATGGTAGGAACCTACCTGATAAGCGCCAATTCCCCACGCCTCCCTTTTTAGTTTTTGTAGTCTTTCACTTCCCTGACTTTACCGGGACCCTGCTCATCCCCTCCCGGTTCCTTCATTCTCTCTTTAAAGGGCCCAGTCACCTCTACACAAATCAAAATTCAGTTCAGGCTGTACTCTTTTCCTCATTCGAATAGTATATTATGATTAAAATGTAAACTTCAGTGTCTGGCTTTATTTATCCTTGACAACACTCAAATCTATAATTCTATCTCTGCTACATGTATTTTTCCTCTTTGAAACTACCTTGAAGAAATTCATTTTTATACCATCTTACTTCCTCCCATTTCATTCCTTTCTTATTCTAAATAGTTTAAATGATATTATGTCTACCTTAGACAGGATGGGAAATTCAGAAGCGATATAAGAAAATATAAACATATTTGACTACATAAAACAAATATTTCAGATAGCCAAAGAGAGAATTTAAATTTTTTAAAAAATAATGCATGCAAAAAATGTTGGCCACTAATATAACAGACAAGATTGTGGTGTATACCACAATCATACAATGAACTCTACAAATTGATAAAAAGAGGTAAACAACTCACTATGAATACAGACCAAGTCTAAGAATATGCAATTCATAAAAGAGAAAGCAAATGCCAATGGTGAAAAAAATACACATGAATAAATTCTCAACTACAGTAGTCATTTAAACAAACTATCATCAAGCATATTGGCAAGAATTGATAAGACTAGTAACATCTTACTGCAGGAGAAAATGGGGTAGAGTGAATTGAGATCTCAGGAGATGACTTTCAAACATTGTTGGTGTAGTTCAGTTAGTTGAAGCATCGTCCTGTAGACCAAAAGTTCGTGGGTTTAATTTTTGGTCAGGGCACATACCCAGGTTGCAGGTTTGATCCCTGGTTGGGACACATATGAGAAGACAACCAAGCAATATTGCTTTCTCTCTTCCCTTGTCTTTCTAAAAGCAATGAAAAAAATGTCCTCCAGCATAAAAAAAAACAAACAAAAAAACCTCCAATTATCTATTAAGATAGATAGATATTCTGCTCTGGCTCTGTGGCTCAGTGGATTGAGTGCCAGACTGAGAACTAAATGGTCATTAAATGGTCAGTGGTTCAATTCCCATCAGAGCACATGCCTGGGTTGCAGGCCAGGCCCCCAACCAGGGGCACGTGAGAAACAACCACACATTGATTTTTCTCTCCCTCTCTTTCTCCCTCCCTTCTCTCTCTCTAAAAATAAGTAAATAAAAAAGAGTTTTTAAAAAAGATATATTAGATACATTATCTAAGTCAGAAATCCTTCTTTTGGGAATCTATTCTACAGACATAAAAGAGTACCAGAATGCTTATTGCACATTGTTTGTAGTAGGGGGAAAAAAAAAAAAAAAGAGTAGCCTGAATGTCTAGCAATACTACTTATGGTCATTTATGCAATTTACCATTGAATAAGTTGTGGCACATTCATTCTATGGACTATTTTCCAATTATTTAAAAAATTAATTAGATCTGTTATAAATTGAACTGGAGAATATCTAGTACGTAAGTTTAAGTTAGAAAACAAACTTGTAAAGTAATACTCATAGCATGACCACATTCTTTTAAATAACAAAAATCCCCAACTACTTATATATATGTGCATCTGTATGCATATAAAGTAACATGTGGAAGTTTATAGACTGATCTGTTAACATTAATTACCTCCAGAGAAGGAAAATAAGTGAATTATTAATCTTTTTCTTATTTACCTATATTGTTTCACTTGCCACAGTGAGCGTTAACTTTTGCAACTTTAAAACTTTAATAAAGTTTTCAACAAAACTTTATTAATAAATATAAAATATAATAAATATTATAATAAAGATTTTAAAACTTAAAAAATACTTCTGCTATATCCATACAATGGAATTTTATATGGTTTAAAAAAAGAATGAAGTATTGATACATGCTATGACATGGATGAATCAAAAAAGCATAATGCCAAGTTAAAGAAGCCAGTAACAAATGACCACATACATTGTTGTTGTATGATTCCACTTATTTGAATTGTTTAAAATAAGTAAATCTATAGAGACACAAGATTAGTGGGCTGGAGATTGGGCTGGCATAGGGAAGAGGGAATGACTGCTAATTGGTAAGGATTTCCTTTCTGGGGTGATGAAAATGTTCTAAAATTGATTATAATGAGTGTTCCATGTCTCTGTAAATACACTAAAACCACTGAACTGTACTTTAAATGGACAAATTGTAAGTTATGTGAATTATATCAAAAAGTTGTTAGAAACTATAATGCTGTTCACCATTAATATTTGTCTTATTCATCCTCAAAAGACTATTTTATATTTTTAAATAAAATCCAAAAAATGTGCCACAGATTCCAAAGACAATTCCAAAACTGGAAATCCAAAAGTATCAGAGTCTAAATAGACTACTTTGAACAGGACATCACATTTTTTAATGTGCACATTCTCCTATGTTTAAAAAATATTTCACATAACTTATGAAATATAATAATGCATCATGAGCACACTAAACCACATTTCAGAGCCCTAATTTTTCTGCTTCCCCTCAAAGAGGACTGAAATTTATGTATCTTCTGACATTTGGTTTTAAGATTCTTGTGATAGATTTGCATTAAACAATTATATAAATATTTTTCCAATGTACATTGAGTATACCAGAAAAATGCAGATAAAAAGAAAAATTTGGCAATAATCTGGCAATATTCTCCTGGCTCTCAAAAATTTGGTTAACACAAACAAGACAAATTCTTAATGAAGTTGTTACTTGTTAAAAGTTATATAATATTTTTTAATTAAATTTATTAGGGTGACATTGGTTAATAAAATTATATAGGTTTCCAGTGTACAATTCTATGATACATCTTCTGTATAGCGCATTGTGTGCCCACTACTCAAAGTCAAATCTTCTTGGGTCACCAGGTATTTGACCCACTTCACCCTTCACCTCCCCCCTTCCCTCTGGTAACCACCATACTGTCGTCTACGAGTTTTTGTTTGTTTGGAAATCTTTTTTATTTTTAAGGATTTTTTCCCTTTTTTTTTTTTTTTTTTTTTATTGGTTAGAGAGAGGAAGAGAGAAAAAAGCGAGAGAAACGTCCTTTTTTTAAATTTATTTTTTCAAATACATTTGTGAAACGTCCATTTTTGACATTCCATTTATACATGCATTCATTTGATTAATTCCTACATGTGCACCCACCTAGGTAGGATCAAACCGATAACCTTGATGCATCCAGACACTGCTTTAACCAACTGAGCTGCTGGGCCAGGACCGGAAACTTACTTTTATAAATAAAAAATTTTTATTGAAATTTTTCTGTACAGAGAAAGTAGGAACACCCATTCAATTGTATTTGGATGAGAGAAGATCAATCATTTCTTATATCAACGAAAAATAGCAGATTATAAATTCTGAGGCTTTTACTTTTAAATGAATAAAGAAATCATCCCGTTATGAACAGGAACATTGCTTGCATTTAGTCATAAAATATTTTAGCAAACACACCCACCAAGAGCGCCGCTGGTGTAGTGGTATCATGCAAGATTCCCATTCTTGCGACCCGGGTTCGATTCCCGGGCGGCGCACCCCCTTTTTTTTTTTCCAATTCTTACCAACTTGAAGGCTTTACTAAATCTTTTACCTCTGGAAACATTTACAATTTTTAATTTCTAGGAAGATTTCTAGCTCATAGTTCATTGTTAAAACATTCGAATCTGGAGGAGGAAGACAATTTCAAAAGACAAAAAAAAGCAAGTCTTGAAATAGTTAACCCTTAAGCCTGCCTAGCTGGAGACTTTCCTAACCTCGGTGGAAGAGCGCCTGCGCATTTAAAGAACCTATGGATTGGGGTGCAGCTTGGCGGCCGGAAGGTTGAAAGTGCACGATTATTCTGCGCCTGCGCGGTTCTGGTGGGCACTTCGGTGGCTGCTCCTAGGCCCCCGGCTCGCCGCCATCTTGTATTGGGGCTTCATTGTTCGTGTTGGGCTGAGCGCTTTAGTGTAATTGCAGCGCAAGAAGGAGGTGGAGTAACCTCCAGTTAGCCGAGAAACCCCGCTACTCTGCAGCCAGAACCGCTCAAACGTTTTGGGAGGTAGTAAAGAGTAGGGAGCTGGACCCAGAGGCGCCACCGCGACAGCAGCAGCCATGGAGGACGAGATGCCCAAGACTCTGTGAGTCTGAGGCAACGATGTGGGGGTGGGATGGTGGTCGTCCCGGAGGGAGGTCTCTTCCCTTCGCCGCTCCCCAGCCTATTGTCCTCAGTGGACGTCGCGGTACCACGATTCCTCTCCTTAGCGCACACCTTGAAGCTTAGGGACCGTGACTCGGGTTGTGAGAGGACCAGGTGGAACGAGTAGGGGCTTAACCCTCGGAATTAATCCCTTCACTTTACACCACACCGTGGCCTTTGGCCTCGCCACCAGTCCTCTGGAGTCTCAGGCCTGGAGAGAAGACTTTTTCATTCAAACCTCTTTTTAGAACTCGGCGGACATTCTTTTTGTCCCATGCTTTCCTTCTCTTTTTTTTTTTTTTTCCCCGCCCCTTGTTCTTGGTTAACTTCTTTTGATCTTTACAGCCGACTTTAATTTTATTTTGATTTCTTGCTGAAATTATTCCTTTCATTTTTTGCTCGTCAATAGGAATTTTCTTTTTGAGGCTGTTTGTGCTTATTTTCAGTGAGGTGAACTTTATTGTCGCAGCTGCCCACTGGATAAAAAGCCAAGGCTTTCCTTCTGTAGCACTCCCTCCCCCGACTCCAGATCAAAAAGCTTAAAATTGGGCATCCTAAGGATTTTGAAACTGCTTTTGAAAAATGGAAATGTCACCTGGAGGTATATATCAACTGAAGGGAAATAGAGATAATGCATTTTTATCATCGGTTGCTACTGTTGTGATTGACGTGTTGCTGAAGGAGCGGGCAGCTTTTAGGAAGCAACAGTTGTTAAGTGCCTTAACAGAGTTAGTTACCTCTGAGAATTTTCACAGTTAGTGTTAAATGATCTCAGCATGGGGTATTTGTTGCTTCTCCCACAGCATCCTCTGTTTTTCAGAGTATCGGATGAGTTGATTTTGTCCTTGTTGCTTTTCTGGAAAAGAAAGAACAAAAAGCTTGATGACTTTTTGACATACCTTTTTGGTTTTATTCTTAAAATACTGACTGTTGGAGAACTGTGCATTAAAAATACAATTTTAGATTTCTTTTTGCAACTCTAGACATTACAGTTGTCATGAAGCACAATGTAATCAACTTTTTTTTTTTTTTTACCACCAAAAGTTTCCATTTTGTAACCTGTATGAGAAATACAGGCCAGACTTGTTTTCTTAATAGATTAAACTTTTTTGCTAGTTTATCTGATAATGTTAGTTACCTTCAGTATCTTTTCAATAGGATGCAGCAATTAGTACATGACCTTTGTTTTTTGAAAGATGATATCTGTAGGTGAAGACTCCCTAGAAAACTATTAGCCCCATAGAGCTTAATAGAAACTTTTTTTTACTCTTGCCTCTTCGCTGAAAGTATGATAGCCAGCAGCATATTGGGTTAAAAAAGGCACATCTTTTATAGTGTCTTCAGATTTAAGATTCTTACATTATTTTGTCATTTTTAATTTCTGAAACTCCCAGAAATATCTAGAAACTTAACTTTTTTTGGATGTCGATAACGAAGACATTTTCAGCTTTCTCAGGCCAGTGTACAAAAGCACTTAAATAGCTTGGGGACAGGAGACCAACCATTGAGGGAGAAATAATGAAATATTGTTAAACAAATACTTAGAGTGCTTATGATTTGTTAGGTTCCGTGAAACATGCTTTACCTGCTTGTTTAATCATCAGAACTCTGCGATAAATGGGTCCATTTTGCAGCTGAGGTAGAGCTTAAAGTTGAAGTCACCCAACACTTTTTGTTCAGCTTCCTGCAACTTTTCTGCCTTCAGCTCTGAGCTCTAACGCTTAGGACTAATTTTGCCTTGTGTACTTCACTGGAACACCCTGTCCAAGAATCTTTTTCCCCAAGTAGTCCGAGCTCTAACATCTCTACTGTCTCTCATCCATTGCTTCTACATGTAGCCTTAACCAAAGCTCCCATTTTCCAGCCAGACCAATCTCGATTAAATGAGTAGGTGTGGCTCAGTTGGTTAGGCGTGGTTGCACAAAGGGAAAGGTCTTAGGATCAATTCTCTGTCGGGACAGTTGGGTTGCCCGCTCAGTGCCCTTTTGGGGTATGTGCAAGAGGCAACCCATCCATGTTTCTCTCCCTCTCTTTCTCCCTCCATTCCCCTCTCTAAAAGTAAATAAATCTTCTAAAAAATAAATGAGTAGGTGCTAATCCCTAAGTTTTCCCAGCAATATTTTTATTATAAAATGTATATTTTAATGACCCTGGAATTTAGGGGCTTTTATGTTCTTAGCACAGTCTCAGGTTTGTGGTAAGTGATCAATAAATTTATTTTAAAACTGGTACAATTCCAAGCAGTGAATTCAGATTTTACTTGTTCTTGAAGGTAAAGTATAGTCTGAGTTGCAGTATCACCTATAATACCCAAAATGGCTCAGAGAGAATGCCTTCATTTGCTGAGGTCCGCCAAGTTCTAATAAATGTTCATCACCTTTTTAAGTTAGAGATTGCCAGTATTCAGTTTCTCGTCAGCAGTATTTTGGAAATATATTGTGAGAAGTGGTTTGATTCTGGAAATATTTTGGAAGTAGAGCAACAACAATTACCAGTGGATTAGATATGGAATCTGAGAATGAAATCAACAATAAGTAGGTTTATTTACAAATGTATTATTTCAGTCATTTAAAATGATAGTTTGTTGCAAAATATAAGTAAAAATGAGAACTGGTTTAAGAGCATGAATGTCTTCAGGCATAGTATTAGATACATTTGTTCAGGCTGGTTTATTGTATATGGACTAGTCTCCCAGGTGAAGGTGGTGCCAGCTAATAACATAAGAAGGTTTCAGCTAACATGAAACAGACTATCCTTTGTTAAAAGTAGACAGTTTTTTAAAGTTATGATGCTGGTGTATAGTGTGTATGTATATACGTGTGAATATTTATGTGTTTGTATAGTATATATATGGGTGGGCAAAAGTAGGCTTACAGTTCATATGGAAATAATAGAATAATTAATAAATGTTAATTTTTAGTGTACTCAAACCTGTCAACCTACTTTTGCCTATATGTTTATATACATATATGAGCATTTACTGTTCTACATAATTTCATAATTAGTAAAAGATATGTACCTTTCCCTCTTGAACTATAGTAACTCAAGCAAAATGGGATAATTTCCTAGCAATCTGAAGTATTCAAAAGTAATTCTGAGTACAGTTATTCCTAAATAGATGTTGAACATTTACAGTGTTCCAGGCAGGGTTCTAGACAGTAGATATATAGTATGAATAAAAGTCTCTTTCTCAGCCCTGGCTGGGTCACTCAGTTGATTAGAGCAGCGTTTGGATATGCCAAGGTTGTGGGTTTGATCCTGGGTCAAGGCACATACAGGAAGCAACCAATGAATGCATAAATAAGTGGAACAACAGAACCGTTTTTTCCTCTCTCTTCCTCCTGCCTTCCCTGCCTCCCTTCCTCCCTCCCCCTCCTCCTTGGCTCCTCCTTCCACCCTTCTTCTCTCTCTAAAATCAGTCAGTCAATAAAAAAAAAAAATCTCGATCAAATTTATCATTAACAAAAAACCTATTTAAATTTTCACAGAGGCCTCATATCAAATCCTGCATTATACAATGATTGTGGCTCAAAACCAATACAGTATTCTGCTTTGTAAATGTCTTTAGGTTAAATTTTCTAGAGCTGTAGTAATAGAAATTAATATTTTAAATGTTTTAGATTACAATTTTACAACTATCTGAACTCAGTTACCAGCTTTGAAAATATGTACTAAGTTGATATAAAATCCTATCCCTGGCAGAATATCATGTTTTTATTGTAACATTGGTGACTTCTTCATTGAGTCTTCACAGGTAGCTTTTTACTTTGAAAAAATTAAAAACCTACAGAAAAGTAACAAAAATAGTACATTGAAGAGTTAGGTAACTTTCTTGTGGATTTACCAGTTGCTAATAGTTAGCCAAATATTCAAAAGTAATTCTGTGAGAATATAGTTATCCTTTTTTTTCCCCCTGACCCATTTGAGAAGACATTGTAACACCTTACGCCTAACTCCTTAACCATATATTTTCTAAGAACAAGGGCATTCTCTTATATAACCATTCTACAATTTTCATATTAAGGAGACTACACTGATATATTTTTAATTAATATACAGTTCATATTCATTTATCCAGTTGTCGAAGGAGCACACTTTTAGTTCATTGAAGTCTATTTGCCTTAACAGATAGTTAAGTTCTCTTCTACCCCTATCTCTGCTTCCTATTCTGCATAAGATTGGTACGTGATCTCACAAGTGTTATAACATGGGATATTTCAGTCCATGCTATTAACAAGTTCATTGGACAATTAAAAATGGATACTTCAACTGTGGCTGATGTGCCTCAGTGGATTGAGTGCCAGCCTGTGAACTGGGAGGTCATCAGTTCGATACCCCGTCAGGGCACATACATGGTTTACAGGTCAAGCCCCCAGTTGGGGGCATGTAAGAGGCAACCAGTCCATGTTTCACTTGCACATTGATGTTTCTCTTCCTCTCTTTCTCTGTCCCTTCCCCTCTCTGTGAAAATAAATAAATAAAATCTTTTTTAAAAATGGATATTTTAATGTTATTCCAAAAAAAAACATTTTTGAAAAATAAAAACTACTCTAAGAAAATTACAATTTTGTTTATTTAGTAGTCCAATAGACATCATGGCGGGGAAACTGGCTTGCAACTCTTCTGAGTATCAATTTTTATATCAGTCAGGATTTTCTTAAATGCAAGCAGCAAAAATAATTACCCATAAAAGGAATTTATTAAAAAGATTTTGGACACTACCAAAATGTCAGAAGGATTATGGAACCTAGCTTAGGAAATGTTCAGGGAGGGGTGGGAACTGTCAGGCCACAGTCCTAATCAAGCTGCAGACCATCCCAGAAAAGATGCTAGTACCACATCCACTGAGGACCACATTCACTGGACAGGGGACTTCATTGCTATTTGACACCAAAATGGAGTCTCTTCAATCTTGCTTTATGCCCTATCTTCAGGACTGGTGTCTCTAATTGACTTAGCCTAGATTGAATGCAAAGTAGACTACAAAACCATATCTAGGCTTTTCAACTTCTGTAGAAGAGTCAGACTTTGCCTTAAGATAAGGAATTTTATAAAAATAGGAAAGATGCTTGGTGGCCAAAAAAAAATTTGCTGAGCTCATACTGTTAATACAAAATCCTTTGGCTTCAGAAACAGAATAATGTGTGATGGAATGAAACAACTAAAGAAAGAAACATATAAAAATGAGAATTAACTTTGTAAAATATAGCACATTCTATAAGCTAAAAAACTTATTTTCCATTGAAAGTATTATGAACATAAAAAGGATCTGTAGATTTCAAATTTCAAACTCCTATGTATTTAGCAAATAGACTTGGAAAGTAATAACATCATCAAGCTGTTTCTAAAAATTTGAGATCTGTGTTAGTGATTAACTTGTTAGTAAAAAGAAAAGACTAGCCCTGGCCAGGTAGCTCAGTTGGTTTGAGTGCTGTCCCCAATATGCCAAAGTTGCAGGTTCAAGCCCCAGTGACAGCACATACAAGAATCAACCGGTAAATGGACCGGTAAATCAATCTCTCTCTCTCTCTCTCTCTCTCTCTCTCTCTCTCTCTCTCTCTCTCTTTCTCTCTGTCTCTGTCTCTCTCCTCCTCCCTCCCTCTTTCCCCCCTCTCCCCTTCCTCTCTTTCTCTAAAACCATTTAAAAAATGTAAGCAAACAACAACAATGTATTGTTAAACTAATTTGTAATGAGTTATTTTTATTAGCACAAGGAAGAAAAAGTTTTTTGTTCTTTGATTTCTTTAATATGAAAATGTTATATGTGTTACTTAGATTTTATTGTAATAACATCTAAGGCTGATACAGCGTATTCTGAAGCATTTCTCTAAACAACTGTGTGTAGTTAATTGCTAGAGCTTCTGGAGCCTATATCAAAGAAACAAATCTAAAGGCGCTACAAACCATAATGTTTTCTTTTTTCTTTTTCTTTTTTTAAGTATCACTGGAGGACGTGCTCACTGATTTTAGAGAGAGGAGAAGGGAGGGAGAGAAACACCCATGTGATAGAAACATCAATCAGCTCCCCCCACCTCACAGCAGGAGAAACACTCCCCCCCTTCCCATCTACAGAGATGACACTCCAACCAACCAGCCACACCAGCCAGGGCAACCATAGTGCGCTCTAAAGTAGTTTTTTGGTGTGTTTTTTTTTTAATCCACACGTCTTCAAACTCAGAAAATATTTCTCAGAAAATGTTAAGACGATTTTGCAAAGAGTCAATGATAGAATTCAGGTTCTCTAAATACTGTGCACTTGTCATCACTAAGTTATATTGCTTTAAAATTAAGGTACATAGATATTAGCATTAAGTCTTCAGAAGAGCCATTTTTTTTCATTGACATTGCAATCTTGAGAATTTCTTACAGGTACAAGAATCAAATGAGAATACACACAGAAGAGTTACAGAGAAAGTACAGTTCTCACATAACCTTCACTCAGCTTCCTTTAATGTTAACAACTTACATTACCATGGTATACTTGTTAAAACTAAGACATTAGCATGATACAGTACAAGCTTTATTCCAGTTTCCCCAGCTTTTCCAGTAATGTCTTTTGTATTCCAGGATCCATTCCAAAATACCACTGTATTTTTTTTTTACTCTATTTTTACTGATTTGAGAGAGGGAAACAAACATCAGTTTGTTGTTCTACTTATTTATGCATTCGTTCGTTGATTCTTTTATGTGCCCTCATGAGGGATGGAACGTGCAACCTTGGCATATGGGTACAATGCTCTAACCAAATGAGCTACCCTGCCAGGGCCAAGATACCACTCTATTTAGTCATGTCTCTTTACTCTCCTTTAATATGAGATGATATCTTTCATGACCCTGGCATTATTAAAGGGTACTGTTTCTCCACTGTACAGTGACTACTTTTTCTCAACATTCTGTTAATTAGAATTGAGTCACTGAGACTAACCCACACTAAAGGAGAGAGAAATTAAGCTCCACTTCATAGAGGTGGAATATCAAGGAATTGTGGACATACGTTAAAACAGTCAATTAGTTGGTTGAAACGACTAATACATATTTTATAGATGATACTTGAGGCTCTACACATACCCTATTTCTCCTTAAAGTTACATCATCTATAAAACACCCATGAGTGGATTTTGCCAGTTGAAATTATTACTGTAGTGTTTTAATGGTGATTTCTCTTATTTCTTCTACATTTATTAGAGTTTTACAGGAAAAAACTATCCTCCCCCTCCCCCCAATCCAGGATCTAGTCAAGTCTTATTTATTGTATTTGGTTGTCAGTATCTTTTAAGTCCTTTTAAATCAAGAACAGTCTTCCCTTTTTTTTTTTTTTTTTTACTTTTTTTTAAGACAATATTTTAAGAAATCAAAAAAAGTTGTCTTATACAAAATCCCGTATCTTGATATGTGTAATTGTTTTCTTATATGTCCAATATTCGCTAAACTTCTCTCTGAATTTAAGCTTGATTAGATTCAAGTTAGACCTTTTTGATTTGACTACTTCATAGGTGATGTTATATAATTTATATTGTATACACAATGACTCATTGTTCATTTATAAAATGATTTGATCATTGGGTCAAAGTGGTAAAAGAGCCAAAGCTCTCACTTTTAAGGTAGGGCTTTTCCCTTTGGAATTGTTAAGTGATTTATGTGATAACTTTGACACCCTTCAAATAATCATAGTATAATACCCATGAGGCTTACACATAGTTAATTTAATGTGCTCTGTCTAAATTTATTAACTAGCATTTTTCTGTAAATAAGGGCTTTTCCCTCATCCACTGGAGCTGTTAGATTACATTATACTGGAGTTTCTACTGCAAAGGCAAGATAAATTCTTAATTCTGTCCCTTTAATTGCTGATTTTCAGTACAAGGACTTGGTATAATAATAACGCCCAATATTGGAAAAATTGCTGTTGCTTATACTTTTTTGAATATCATTATTTTACCTGATATTTAAATACTGTTCATTGTTTCTTAAGATTCAGCACTTCTCCCTTTACCATTTTAGCCTATTCCAGTGCCTTTATAGTAATCATTCAATATAGTTTGTTGAATGAGTAAATGGAAGGAAGGAATTGACATGTATAGATGTTTATTTTTCTGGGGAAAGAGTCCATATCTTTCATCACATGTTTTCTGAAGGATTTTTGGCAGAAGAATTAAAAACTACAGTTGTTGAGAGTCAACATTCTCTGATTTTAGAAGTGATAAACCTCTAATTCTAATATATCTAGAGGGAATTTCCTTTCAAAACCCCATTTTGAAACTTTATTTATAAACCCTTTAAATAAAGATTTTTCCACTCATGAGGTATTATAATACACTATATTAGTTAACTTTGCTAGTCATCAATTCATATTATCTGTTAAAGGTCTCTCCTGGAATCTTTCTACTCCCTCTGCACATCCACTAATCAGTGATACTCATGTTTAAGTTTTCCATCCCTTGCCCCAGCAACTGTGGCTCAGTCAGTTGGTCATTGTTTTGTAAACCGAAAAGTCGTGGGTTCAATTCCCAGCCAGGACACATATCTGGGTTGAGAGCCAGGTCCCAGGTTGGGGGCATGTGAGAGGCAATCGATAAATCTTTTCCTCTCTTTCTCATCACCTTTCTAAAAAGAAATAAGTAAAATCTTTTTTTTTTTTTTATTAATAAAGCATATCTACCTAAGGTAAGCCTAGGAACTTAGAAATAAACAGCAGATTTGACTTACACCACCTTCACTAAAAACACACTAGCTTCCCTTCTACTAGCAGTGTCTAATATACTTGGAAATTACATATATAGTACATCTTTTTTGAAAAAGATTTTAAAGTTTTGGCAAACTGTTATAAGCTATTCCCAAGTAGTGTAGTTTCAGGTAAAGATCTACCTTTTCCTAAATTCATTTTTCAGTAAGAAACTTTAGAAACTGGTCAAAAGAAGCAAAATTAAAATGGTAAATTGTTTTTCTTTGTGTTGCAGATATGTCGGTAACCTTTCCAGAGATGTGACAGAAGCTCTAATTCTCCAGCTCTTTAGCCAGATTGGACCTTGTAAAAACTGCAAAATGATTATGGATGTAAGGGTATTTTACTTAAGTTAACTTTCTTTTTTATGTACGTTATTTAAAACCATTGCTTCTAAAACTCTTAAATTAGTTTGTATAGTCCTAATTCATAGGGATTTTAGTGAATTTGTAATGAATCCGTTTTGGCCACTGCATTTAATATATTTTATTAAATAAAAAAAAGAAGAATAGAACTAATCATTTCTAGAGCAGATGAGAACTATATGTAGGCTGTAGGCTCCCCCCACCCTTTTTTTTTTTTTGGCATTGAGGCATCAGAATTGTTTATTTTATATATGGTATTAGTTGATAGGCTAATCTAGAAATTCAATTATTACAATTAGATTGGGAAATTGGGTCAAAAATAGTATGACATTTGATACTGGGATATGTTTTTAACTTTATTTTCCAAGGTCACGATTCAAGTTTTTCTTGCATTATGGCAATCCATCCATCAGACCTTAATGTACAGAAAAAACCTTGAATTAATTCATCTAATTGATGTTAATCTTGAATCATAATATGTATAAAAAGACATCTGAAAAAGTGTTTTTGATGGAAAGGACAGCTAAAAAGAAATCCTTTTATCCCATGGACTTTTTGGTTTTCTTTTCCTCAGGAAAGAAAATCATGTATGTGAATGTGTGCCAGCTACTTTCTTTTCCATTGTTTTCCAGTTTATCTCCTTTTTTACTTGGTATTTAAAAAGTAATTGTTTAGCTAATTGGCTTTGGTGTGTTGTCTAAGTATTTTTTAAGATTTTATTTATTTTTTTAGAGAGAGGGGAAGGGAGGGAGAATTGAGAGGGAGAGAAACGTCAGTGTGTGGTTGCCTCTCACGTGCTCCCTACCAGGGATCCAGCCCACAACCCAGGATGTGCCCTGACTGGGAATCAGACCAACAACTCTTTGGTTCGCAAGCCAGCACTCCAGTCCACTGAGCCAACACCAGCCAGGGCTGTTGTCTAAGATTTTAAAATGTCAGACCTTTCTCCTAAAGTGTCAGGGTCACCTGCATGTAATATAGATGGATTCAACTAATGTTTTTGTCCTTTATACTCTTCTTTAGTGTTTTCATGTCACATTTAATATTTTTATGCCCTTGGATAAAGAAGGAAAGACCCCTCGGTACCCATAGAGAAAGATTAAGGAGGAAAAACTGGAATATGATTGAGAATTTAAAATCTTTGATTGATGTGGACCTCCTTCCTTATCCCAGTAATAACATTTATGGAATGCTTGCCTGTTATTTAATGCTGATGCATTATCACAAGTGCTCAACAGAAATAGTGTAAAACACATGTTATTCCCATTTAATATGTGCAGAAATGAGGGAAAGCAAGAATGTAAACCCAGATTGAACTAGGCAAATATAAATCTCCATTGGTTTGTAGGCTGCCATTCTCTCCCTGTCTGGATCATTCTACATGTTTGCTTGCCAAAGATCTCTAAGCAAAATGTTAGCGACTGCCCTGGCCGGGTGGCTCAGTTGGTTGGAGTGTTGTGCCATACACCAGAAGGTTGCAGGTTCAATCCCCAGTCACAGTGAATACAGGAGGCAACCAATTGATGTTTCTCTCTCATATCTATCCATCTTTATCTCTACCTTTCTTTCCCTCCATCTTTTCTCCCTATAAATTAATTTAAAAAACTTGTCCTCACATGAGGATTTAAAAAAAAATGTTAATGACTGCCTGACTTACAGAAAAGACAAGCTAGGTTAGCCTTCGCCACTTGGTACAAATTTGGGGTTTTTATTACTCAAAGGCTTAGATTAACATTCTGTTTTTATTATTATTAAAGTTGAAATTCCTGTCTATTCATATTATTGGACTGATGTCCATATTTATGAATTTTACACATCGTAGAATATTAAGGTTTATAATGTCTATGCTTAGATTTTTTTTTTATCTAAAATGTGCAGTTTTTTCTAGGGACAGGTCAACTGACTGATGTGAACACTCTTTTTCATTTGCTATTCTTAAGTATAAGCTATTTTTTCTAACTACCTTTTGGTGGTTAATTAATCTGTATATAAAATTCGCACTTATCAGGTGTAGTATTTGAATTAGACAACTTTAAAAACATGTTTATGTTCCCTAATGTTTTTAAAATAAAGTAATAGGTAGTCTCTGTGTCAATTTGTGGTGGCCTCTTTGCTCTAAAATAGTTAAGAATCATTGTCAAGGACTTTTAAACTGTTAATTGTGCTTTAAACAAAATTATATCTTTCTTTATTCTAGTATTCTAGTTTTTTCATTTCATATTTTTACAACCCTGCTTAGGAGATCACAGCAAGAATTTTAAAATGGTCTATGAAATCATTTGGCATTTTGCATTGATAGGTATAAAATATTGGGTGTTTGTTCTGCTTTAGTTTACACTAAAACATCCAGGCTTCACCTATCATCAAATGTCAACTACTTGGAACAGCAGCAGAAAAGAGGAGAGGATTTTTTAAAAGACTACTAATCAGCTAAAAAATGATGTCAGAAAGTCCAAATTCTAAAGCCTATTCTAAAACTTTACTTACCAGAATACCTCTTCAGTTTTCAGAGCCTATTTACTTACATTTTAGAATTAAGTTTAAGGTGGTTGGATGTGATTTCCTGCTACTCAGTAACTTAGAGGAAGCAAGAATATATGTACATCTCTAGCAATAAAAAGAAACATCACAGGGAAAAGACAGAAAAGTTATTAAAAGCCAGTAACACCCTGATTGGTGTGGCTCAGTGGGTTGAGCATCATCCTGCAAACTGAAAGGTCTCCAGTTCCATTTCCCTGTCTGGGCACAACTTGAGTTGCAGGCCAGGTTCCTGACTGGGGCTGTGCAAAAGGCAACCAGTTGATGTTTCTCTCCCTTTCTTTCTGTCTCTCCCCCTCTGAAAAATAAATAAATAAAATTTTTTTTAAAAAGCCAATACCAACACTTGATATTATAGGATTCTAGTCAAACATAACCCCTCTAGCTTAAAGAAAAGATTGTATTTTATGATAATGATGAGAATGTAGCTATATATTAATTTGTCCATAATTAGGACACTTAGTCATTAATAAAAGATTAAACTATACATAGTAGTATTATATAACTTGATGAAGATATAGCGTTCTATACAAATAGTTCAATTTTTTGCCCTAGCTAGGTGACTCAGTTGGAGCATTGTCCAATGCACCAACAGGTTGTGGGTTTGATCCCTGGTCAGGGCACACACCTAGGTTGCAGGTTCAATCCCTGATTAGGGCCCATAGCGGAGGCAACCAATAGATGTTTCCCTCTCTGTTTCTTCCTCCCAACCCCCCTGCCCCACTTCTCTCAGAAATCAATAAACATATCATAGGGTTAAGACTTAAAAAAAAGAAACAAACTCAGTTTTAAGTGTTTGCTTCCTGATCTAAAGATTTACTTGTGGATTTATTTGTGGATTTACTTGTGGTGGAGTAGGTCAGTTTGTTAGAGCATCATCCCCATATGCCAAGTCTGTGGGTTTGATCCCCAGTCAGGGCACATAGAAGAATCAGTCTATCTCTCTGTCTCCCACCACCACCTCAAATTAATAAATAAAAATTTAAAAAAATAAAGATTTACTGGTGGAATGGACGTTTCCATTCTTTGGCCTGGTAACAGATGTTATAAATTTTACAGTAATGGGAGTATAAAGCTTAAAATTGGCTGTTGTATTTTTTGTTCAACAGACAGCTGGAAATGATCCATATTGTTTTGTGGAGTTTTATGAGCATCGTCACGCAGCTGCAGCACTAGCTGCTATGAATGGGCGGAAGATAATGGGTAAGGTAAGCTGTCATAATTAAAGGTGACTTGCACTGGATATTTTAAGTTGCATAGTTGTCTTTCCTTTTTGGAAGCATTAATATTCACTTTATAGAAAATAATCATGTTTATTAAAAAGGTGGGGTAAAAGCTATTAGAGGGCGTGGTTTATATTCGTATTCTTTATGGTGCCTTGCATATGGTAAGTACTAAAATAATTGTTGAATTACTCAAGCTTAGATGAAACATCTAGGAACATTGGATACCAATGGGAGGAAGAAAAGGCAAAACTAATTGGTACTTTAGATAAGAAAGGGGATTGGTTGAATGTTAACAGAAACATGAGGTCTGTCCAGAAAGTATCCAGTCTTGTACTATGAAAAATAGAGACATTTATTGAAGAAGATACAAGAAACATTGTACATAGGACAATGGCACCTCAGTCCCCTTTAAAGTAGGCACCATAGGACCTCACACAGTTCAGTTCTCCCAGTGTCTCTTCCACTGTTAGAACACTGCAGAATCCTTTGTTGGAATTGTTATCAGCTACCCCTTCTTGTTTTTGTAAATCCCATCAACAGTCTGAAATCTCTTCCCTTTCAAAAGTAGTTTTAGTTCTGGGAAAAGCCAGAAGTCGCAGGGGGCCAAATCTGAACAGTAAGGGGGCTGAGTCACCTGAGTGATTTGATGTTTTGCAAAAAAACTCTACACAAGGCATGATGCACAAGCAGACGTGTTGTCATGAAGCTGCCAGTCACTAGTTGCCCATAGCTGTAGCCTCCTCAATTATTTTAATAGTTTCCAAGGAGGAATGTTCAAGCTTAATGCAAAATTTCATGCAGATTCATTGCTGTACCTGCTCAGTCATTTTGAATGCTACAGCCACAAGTACACATACTCACTCAACAGCACCTATCACCCCCATTGACTAGTACAGTGAAGTTGTCATTGTTCATGCATGCACATTTTAGTTCACTTGCCTTGACTGCCAGGTTACATTGATGTCATGCAAACCGTTCTTGTTATATTAACAATGGTTGGACTTTTTCCTGACAGACCTCATATGTAAGATTAGGATTTGAAAACATTATTTGCATAAATGTAGGTTAAAAGATAAACTGACCAGAACTGGTATCCATTTCATCTCAGACATACAACTTCCTATATGTTAATAGATGCAAATCTTTTAATACCCAATTTTGAGCTTTTTTTTTAATGGAATGTAAATGTGGAAAAATTTTTTTAGGAAGTCAAAGTGAATTGGGCAACAACCCCCAGCAGTCAAAAGAAAGATACAAGCAGTAAGTATATTTTATACTCTTTGAACATTTGTTTTATTGTACACAGTAATTTTATTGTAAAGCATTAAACATCATACATGTTTGCAGTAATGTTTTGATCGTTATCCTTAGATATGATTGAATGTGTTTGTGTTAATAAATTTAAGAACAAATCTAATCTTTGTCATCAGGTAGTACCGTTGTCAGCACACAGCGTTCACAAGGTAATTGTATCTTCTTAAACATAAAATGAAATCTCTTGAAAGGGTATTATTCACTAACCACCTGAAATTTTTTTGTTTGATATTGGGGGGGAGTGGGGAGGGAGGAGTTCGTATTTCTATGTGTCTCTCTGGCAATATTTTTCCCCCTTCTTCCCAGTGTTGGCCAAGTGTGGCTTGTCCACTACTTTGGTGCTATTTCAAGCTCTCTGACCCTCTTGGAGGCAGCTGATGCCTTAGAAATACTTTCACCAACTAAAGGGCAAGATACCCTGCTTCCTTGAGGTCACGATCTGTGCTCCATATCCAGATCTTCTGATTGCTTGAGTTGCTTCTGAAACTGTGTTTCCCAAATGACAACCCAATATGTTGCTTAAGGCCTGCCAAGTAGGAATAACTTTTCTTTCCAAATATACTTTGTCAAAATTGATATATGTGCCTATTTTAAGTGTTTATCCAACTATTTTGTATTTTTTAACATGTTTTTCTTGAGCACTGTCTTTTTTTTTTTTAAACTTCACATGGGATGGTTATTTCTCTCCAATGCTTTGTTAATGGTTCTAATATAAAGTGAAGGGATTACTGTTTTCATTCTGTTGCCTTCAGTCTTAGTTCACATGCACATGGATTCACATAAACTGAATGGTGTAATGTCTGGGCAACCAAAACTGTTGGCTTTTGAGAAAACTGTCAAATACTTTAACATCAAACTGTTGCAATGCAAGGTATTTCTTTGCTTGTTCTTCACAAAATATGGTTAAACCAAGTATATCATGTAGCTAGCTTCAGTGTTGTCTTAACTGAGGCAAATCTAGTCTACATAAATCACAATACCACTATTTTATTTTAATTTGTAAAGCTCTGGTAGAGTGGTAAACTAATTAATGTAAATAATACTATTAAAATGGTAATTAAGTCATAATTGAGTTATTAAATTTTTTGCAACACTTGCTATCTATCATATTAGTAGTTTATTTTCTTAGACCAGTATAATAATTGGCTGTAAGAGAAATATAACTGTCAGTTTCCAGTTAGATATATCAGTCTTTAGGAGAGTCTTTCCTGTATTGTTACCTTGATTTATTATGTTTAAAATTGATAGGATGTGTATAGATATAGGATAGTGTTTTGCTTATATGTTACTATAAATCTATAAGTTATTTTAAGAAAACTTTATTGAATAAATTTTAGCATTTTTTAAATTCTAAAATTTTACTTTTCTTTTCACTTCCCCTTCCTTCCCCTTATAAGATCATTTCCATGTCTTTGTTGGTGATCTCAGTCCAGAAATTACAACTGAAGATATAAAAGCTGCATTTGCGCCATTTGGAAGAATATCGTAAGTAACAGAAGACAAAAGTAAAATACTTTTAATTAGAAACAATCTTATTTAGAAGTACTTTCAAAATTTTTTGTGAATTTTGGACATCAATTTTAACACTAGAATGTAATATATTACATTGTTTAGCGCCTATTCAAGCAGTTAAGAGCCAAAGATTTTTTTCCTACTGATAAATAAATCTTTTGTCTTCAGTTATCTTAAAATCTTTTTTTCAATTGGCATTAGCTTTTAAGAAAAAACGTACTATTGTGCATCTTGTTTCATATGTAAGTGTCTTGCTAGCCTGGTCATAACCTTTAGTAAACTTGTGCTGTGACTAAGGAATTTACAGCTTTTGGGCACCATGCATTTTCTATGATACCATGCATTTTGTGTTAATCTATTTTAACAAAAAGAAACCTCATTTTAGCCCCCCAAAACAGTTACTAAATGTTAATTCTAAGGTATTTACTCTCCTGTTATTGTTACTGTTAACAACAATAGCAATAATAATAATGCCTTTTAGTTTTTTGTGAAGCTCTGTCTTGCTTGCATTTGTTCTTTGTCAGTTTAAGCCCTTTGTAAATAGCTCAGTCCAGGCAGTATTCATCATAAAAGAACTTTACTATTTTGAAAAACATGCCATAATACAGTAAGAATAAAATTTTGATTGTAGTACTTTCTTACATGTAATTATTGAATTTAGAAAAGAGAATTTTTTTAGGATTTCTGGTTGCTTTATTATTGTTGTTCCAGCTAAAAGGGTAGTAAATTGTCTTAACTGAAGCAGAAGGAAACACTAGCTTTGGTTTGGTTTGATGACAGACCAACAGTAAATATGAGGTGAGGAGAAAAGTAAATGCCAATAGTTTTGGTGATGAATTTTGGGAGAGTTTTCATTTGAAGAGTTGTACTTGATTGGTAGGATGATGAACATGTATAGTAAGGGACCAACTTTAAAGGCAATTGGCAAGATTAGGGTTTATAAATGGACTCTTCTTTATTAGGTGATTTTTTTTTTTCCTTGCCCAAGGACATGCTCATTGATTTTAGAGAGAGGGGAAGGAGAGGGAGAGAAACATCAATCAGTTACCTTTTGTATGGGTCCTGACTGGGGATCAAGCCTGAAACGTAGGCATGCGCCCTGACCTGGAATTGAACTCACAACCTTCCTGTTTAGGGAATGATGCTCCAACCAGCTGAGCCACACCAGCCAGGGCTGACATTTTTCTTTATGAGAACTGATTAGGAAAATAAGTCCTGACTTCTTGATTATTCCTTTTAGTCTGTCTTAGGGTCTTGATGATGGTTAGCTTACTTTCAAATATCTAGACTGGAAGGTCTTAACCATTGGCCTTTCAAAGGTTGTATAACTTTCTGTATACAAAATGTTGTGTTTGTTTTCCTTTTGGTGTGGAGTATCTTTTTAAGTTTTATCATATTTCCAAAGTAGTCATAGGACTATAAAAGGATTAAAGAAGGATAAAAGGACCCTGGTCTAGATATTTGCTGCTACTTCCTTAGAAAATCCTTTCAGAAATAAGTAAAAATTAAGTATATTTCAAGGCTAACATTTCCTGAAACTTAACCCTAGGAAGAAAATTTTCTAACATTTTAACAAATTAAATAGTTGTTTTATTAAATGCTTTAATTTTGCTTGAAGTAGCTTTTGAGAAAACGTAGAATAGTAGTTTGGAATTAGATAAAGATTATTTAACAATCAGTGAAGTTAAGTTAAAGGACGTTAAAATTGTAGTGATTTCTTGACTTTTTAATCATGGATCAGTAATTTCTTTTTGTTAAATATGTTGGTATCATAATTATAGTCTATAGATTTTATTATGGCCAACCTGATTATTTATGTATATATTAGTTTTTCTTGGGTAAAGCCTTTCCTTAAGTTTTATAATTTTTAGTTAGGGTAATATATAAATAATGTCTAAGCTTTAGGCTGCCCAAGGAATGTGTTCCTAAATTTAAAAGAACCACTATCAGTAGAGTAGCATCATTTCCTGATTAATTTTTTGTTAAAAGCAATAAGTTGGTAGCTATATATTGAAAGGTTCTTATGAGAGACTCAGTAGAGATCCTACAACAGTGACTTATAGAAAATACGCAGAAAATGGTGACCTAATAAAATATTTAGTATAAAAAATATAATTCTTTCCCTAATTAATATAGTAAACTCTTCCTGTTCCTTGAGTTTAGGGTAATCAAACAGACTTTGGTATAGAAGTAAATCAGCTACCAAATTAATGCATGTGTACCATACAGATAATTTAATAAGTATTTTTACATAATAAGAAGTGACTTGCTGCAATAGTTTTCCCTTTTTACCCCTACGTCTTTGTCATTTTGACCCTAAACACTTCATAAATCACTTCTAAATTGATCAAAATATGCTTATGTATACTTTAATATAAAATTATATTGCATGGCTTTCTGACTTGGGTTTTTGTTGTGAAAGTGCCTGTTTTGTTCATGTGTCCTGAGAGAACAAGCATTGTGACATACCTGGCTAACTTAAAAGCAGATTGCCTGTGAAGCACAATTTGAGTCCAATTTTTTGAGGTATGGAGTTTTAGCTATCATGGCTGGGTTTTTTACTCAATCTCAAATAATAGGGCTCTGGTTATTTTGCAGAGTATCTCTGAAGAATGGACAGAATTGCCCTGGCTAACTACAAGCTACGGTTCACAATGGATAAATGTTGGCGTGCTTTTTTACTTTCTGACTTTTTAAAATTTTGCTCTTATATCTTGTAGTTTCCAATCAATCTTATATGATTGCTGTTTTAAAATTCAGTATAAAATCCTTTCATATATAGTTTAAAACTAAAGTGTGTGTAGAATTTTTCTTCAGTTATTTAGCATTTCTGAAAATGTCAAGTTCTCAAAATTTACCAATAGTCCGTAGGGAGGGGGGGTATGAATTGATCTGAGAAAATAATTTACTTAATTCAGGGAATATACAACTTTTTCATTCTCTTAGTTTCCAGTTTTCTATTTTAATTTTTTAATGATTAGGTAGTATATGGTATCAATTAGCAAATTATAAATTGCATGGTTAAACAAAGCCATTCCTCTAATGTGCCTGTGAACCCTATAAGTGGTTAAGTAATTTATCTGAATAGCTGTCTTCACCATGCTTAATATTTAAAAGTTTAAAACTTTTGAAATGGGAGGCAGTTTCTGTACCATGTATACATACATATTTAAGAAGTTACTGATTTGCATGTTTATAAAATTAAGCCTCATTTGCTTAATACATGATAAATTTTATAGAATAAAAGGTGAATTTGTGTTAAAGGTTTATTTTAATGAAGATGAAACCTGAAAATGAGTTGTGTGTGAAATTTTCACTTGATATCCACAGGAGAGTTTGCAAACCTAAACTTCTGATTGTTTCTGATTTCAGAGATGCCCGAGTGGTAAAAGACATGGCAACAGGAAAGTCTAAGGGATATGGCTTTGTCTCCTTTTTCAACAAATGGGTGAGCTCAATAAAAAGTGCATGTGCAGTGCTTCAAGAATAAAAAATTAAAATACTCATTTTGTTTTAATTATTAATCTTTTTATCATATGCCATTTATTCATTTCACTGAAAATTAACACCTTTACTAAAGGATATCTTCTTTCCACTGTTTGGCCATTTATTCAACTTTTATTTAGTACCTATGCCTGCAAAGTACTGATAAAATGTTTTCAGAATATAGAAAGTGGACATATTTAAATTATAAGCCAAAGATATTGAAAATCTCATTTATATATTTAATTTATTGTCAACCTGTTTTATATTCCCATGATAATTTAAAAGTAGCTAATAAAATGCTCCAATGGGCAGGGACTTTAAAATTGTTTAATAATGTATTTTAAATGTTTCATCATTTCTTCCATCCAACAAACATTTACTGAATACCAGTTCTTATAGATTTGAAATTTCTGGGTTTTGCAGAGAAAAGGAAGGACAGTGCAATTTATCAAAGAAGAGGTGAGAGTAGGGTATATAAAGAAAGAAAAGGCTTATTTCATGTGACAGCTGGAGAAATCTTTGGCATATCCTCCATACTATGTAATACTATGCTGTAGGTAAAAAAAAAAAAAAAAAAAAAGGAGGCCTTGGCTGATGTGGCTCAGTGGATTGAGCGCTGGTCTGCCAAATGAAAGGTCACCAGTTCAATTTCCCATCAGGGCATGTGCCTGGCTTGCAGGCCAGGTCCCCAGTTTGAGGCGTGGGAGAGGTTCTCATATATGGATGTTTCTTTCTGTCTCTTTCTCCCTCCCTTCCCCCTCTCTAAAAATAAATAAAATCTTTTTTAAAAATGTTTTTAAAAAAAGAATAAGGAGGCAGAGACAAATGTATTTAAAAAGTAAAAAAAAATTAAAAAAAAAGAATAAGGAAGCTTTTAAGTATAGATTATGGAAAGATTTCTATGGTACAGTGTTAGGTGGAAAAGCATAATTGTGTAAAAGGAAGAGAACATACGTTTGCGTGGTGTGTGTTTTCTTTTGCTTATAAACAACCCTGTTGCAGGGATTTCTGTTTGTGGGTAGGTAATAAGAGTTAGGCAGATGGGGGACAAAGAGGGAAGTTTCTCACTGTATTGTATGGTTTGAGGTTTGAACCTTGTAAATGTATTACAAATTCAAATAAAATAATTTTTTGATGTGGTAACTCAAGGTTTAAAACAGTTATATACAGAGATATCACACTTCCAAAAATATAGGAGTGAGAAATTTGATACGCACTAATCTTGGAGCATACATCAAGGTTTCATTAACCTTGGGTTTTCTTGTATTGCCTCCATGTTATGACTTTTTTTGTCAATGATAAGTACAGATATACTGTACTTCCTATATAAGAGTACCTTAGAATGACCCACTGAAAGTTTCTGATAGTATGAAATGTCTTAGAAAGACTTTCCTTAGTTTAGTAAAGGGAGTATTTGAAATAGATACATAATTTCTTGATGGCTTCAGGTTGAATATGTGAGCATCAGTTATTGTACCAGTTCCTTCTTGGTTTTTGCAGTTATGCCAAACAGTGTCAGACTGTCTTGTTTTTTTCTAGTTCCTGTGTCTACTTAAATTGGAACTAATGTCTGATTATCCCTCACCATGAGCTCTTATTATCCAGGTATTTTCCATAGCAGTTGCAACCATTTTTTCCAAAATTTACTTTCCAAATAAAAGATCTTCCCTGGCTGGTGTGACTCAGTGGATTGAGTGCCAGCCAGCCTGCAAACCAAAGTGTTACAGGTTCGATTTCCAGTCAGGGCACATGCCTGGATTTCGGGCCAGGTCCCCAGTAGGGGGTATGCTAGAGGCAACCACACATTGATGTTTTTCTCCCTTTCTCCCTCCTTTCCCCTCTCTCTAAAAATAAATAAAGAAAATCTTATTTTTTCAATCTGCCCTAAAAATGTTTACATGGTTACAAACTCAGGCAAGGGAATGTAGAATGCAGTTGTATTGCCGCAGTTCACACAGGAATATTGTACCTTGTGGTTGAATTATGTAAGTGTGTAGTGCAGTATAGCTATCATCTTCTCATGAAATGAAAATGTCTTCCAAGAATGTGGAAAAACCTGTGAAGAAAGAAGGTAAGCCTAAGAGTTCAGGAAGAACCCACATATTAGACGAAAAATTGCAAATGGTAAAGCCTATTGAGAAGTGAAAAGGTAGAAGTTCCACCATGTATTGTCCCATCTACCAATTACAAAATTTTTTTCTGTGAAATGAGAAAATAAAAGCTGAGAATGTAGTTGGTTCTGAAAGCTTTACTGTTAATCCCAACATAATAGTTAAGAATGGTAGAAAAATACCTCATATATTGGGCTGATACCACAGTTAGTGTGAGTTCCTTGGGAGGTTGATATATATAGGATTTTTAGTGTACTGTTTGAGAAAGTAGGTTGGGGACTTTGAATGAACTAGGAATTTGCTTTTTCCATTTGAGATTATGGAATAAAGGCCCCTGCTGTGTGTGTGTGTGTGTGTGTGTGTGTGTATACACATACATATATATGTATATATATTTATATTTAAAGATTTTATTTTTTAGAAGGAAAGGGAGAGAAACATTAATGTGTAAGAGAAATGTCAATCGTTGCCTCTCACACACCCCCAACTGGGGACCTGGTCTGCAGCCCAGATGTGTGCTCTGACCTGGAATCAGACTGGCAACCCTTTGGTTTGCAGGCCGGTGCTCAAACCATTGAGCCACACTGGCCAAGACAAGGCCCCTACTATATAAAAATCACTATTAAATTCATATTTAGCATGACACAGAATCAGATAGCAAAGGATGTCTGTGGGTGGCCCCTGGAGTTAGCCAGAGATGAATTTGAATCCTGACAACCATCATAAGATAGATACAACTTTAAGTAAGTAGTTTAATTTAATCTTCTTGAGTTTACTTCTCAGATCTTATAAAATTTGTGATAACGTGATTGCTAAGCACTCTGGTGTTGTAAAGTGCCACAGTCCAGATTGCGGCTACCCCACTCCCTTTGCCTCTACTCATGTTGTACATGCTAGGCAAACCCCAGTACTGATTCAACATAGGTTTTTTTGGTTGGTTTGTTTTTGTTTTTGTTTTTGTTTTTTGTTGGGTTTTTTTTTTTTTTTTTTTTTTTGCCTAGTCTGCTATAATTGAATGTTGCTACAGAAAAATTGGTTTCACTTCTAATTTGATGATGACACACATTAGATGAGTACATGGTACTGTCTGCAAACCTGTGTTTCTCTGGTAAATTTGATGTCCTATTTTTATTTTTGTATTTATTTACTTTAAAGAGAGAGAGGTACATTGATTTGTTGTTCTACTTATTTATACAGTCATTGGTTGTCTATTGTATACGTCCTGACCAGGGATTGAACTCGCAACTTTGGAACGGTGCTCCAACCAACTGAGCTACCTGTCCAAGGCTGCATTCTTTGTTAACGATTTCATGTCCCCTCCTATTTCCTCAAATATTCTTCACACTTTTCTCCACCATCACTCTCAGTTGCTTACTATATGCTTCACTGAGAAAGTAAAAGCTATCATACAGAAATTCCTCAGCTTTTAACTGCCAAACGGACATAAAATTCATCTGCTTTCCCCTTCTTCCTCCTATTACAGTGGAAGAAAGATTCTTCCTGTAAAAGGCCAAATCATTTACAATTGGGATCCTACCTTTCTTGCATTTTCAGGGACTTTGATCATGTGCTTATTCTTTTTTTAAATACAGCTTTACTGAGATAGAGCTCACATACCATAAAATCCACTCATTTTAGGTGTTCAATTTAATAGAGTTTTTTAGGCTATTCACAAAGGTATGCAACTATCACACATCAAAGTCTTAGAATATTTTCATCTGTCCAAAAGGAAACTACTCATTAGCATTCACTCTCCTTTTACTTTCTACACCCCCTCCCATCCCTAAGCAAATATTAATCTACTTTCTGTCTATATAGATTTCCCTTTTCCAAGTATTTTTTATAAATGGAATTGTATAATATGTGCTCTACTTGTTTTTTGTCCTGTGTCATCAGTCTTTCTCCCTCCACTGGACCATTCCTGTAAGTTAAAAAGCTTGTTCTGGTATCTCTTAATCAAAACCACGCTGGACCCCACATTCCTTCCCTACCCTTATCCCCATTTCTCTGCTATAATTCAAAATCAAGCTTCTCAAAAGAGTTGTTTGCATATGCTTCCACTTCTTCATCTCCCATTCACAACTTAACATACACAGCATGAAAAGTTTTTTCTTTTTTGAATGAATAGCTGTATTTGTTTACTAAGGCTGTTGTATCGAAGTACCATATGTTGAATGACTTAAAACAACAAAATTTATTCTCAAAAGTTCTGGAGGATTGAAGCCCCAAATCAAGATGTCATCATGGCCATGATCCCTGTGAAGGCTCTGTGGAAGGACCCTCACTTCCCTCTTCTTAGGTTGCCAGCAATCCCTGGTATCCTGACCTTTTAGCTGCATCATTCTTATCTTTGCCTTCATCGTTACATGGTCCTCTTCCTTCCATGAGTATCCACGTCAGCTTTTCCTCTTCCTATAAGGAGGTCGGTCATATTGGATTTAGGACCAGCCCTAATCCAATATGACTTCATCTTAACGAATACATCTGCAAAGACCCTATTTCCAGGCTCGGTCACATTCACAGTTCCAGGGGTGGGATATTAGTTAGGATTTCATATCAATTTGAGGGACACAGTTCAACCTGTAACAGTAGATAAAGATCTTGTGAAGTTTAACAAACTGGTTAGTGCTGTTTCTTTTAAAGAATACAGTAGTCCCCTCCCTCATCTGCAGTTCACTTTCTTTGGTTTCAGTTACCCAAAGACAACCACTGTCTGAAAATTTTAAGTGGAAATTCCAGAAATAAACAATTAATAAATTTTAAATTGAATGCCACTCTGAGTAGTGTGATGAAATCTCACTCGGTCCCACCTGCGACATTAATCATCCCTTTCCCCAGTGTATCTGCACTGTATACACTACCTGCCCATTTGTCAATTAGCTGCCTCAGTTATCAGATCCACTGTAGCAGTATTGCAGTGCTTGTGTTCATGTACCCCTATTTTACTTAATTATGGACCCAAAGCACAAGAGTGGTGATGCTGGCAATTCAGTTATGTCAAAGAGAAGCCATAAAATGCTTTCTTTAAGTGAAAGGTTAGTACAGTACACTGAGATATTTTAGAGAGACCACATTCACATAACTAATAGTATATTGTTTTAATTGTTCTATTTTATTAGTTATTGTTAATCTCTTACTATGCCTAACTTATAAATTAAGGTTTATCATAGGAAAGTATGTATGTATATATAGGGGAAAAACATAGCCATTTATAGGGTTTGATACTATTTGCAATTTCAGGCATAAACTGAGGGTCCTGGAACATATTCCCCACAGATAAGGGGAGGCTGCAGTATGTATTTCCTTTTTGTGTGTCTCAAGAATGGCTTTTAGCCTTGACTTTGCTTGTTCTTTTGCTAAGTTAAGCCCACATTTGACACATGCAGAACAAAGCTGCACCCCATTTACTTTTCAGTTCACTCTAAACAGGCTTTTTTTCTCTCCAGTAACTATCATTGTCTACCAACACTACTGTTTTAAAGTTCACCTCTTGACTCTGTGACAGTACACTTTTGTGGGTTTCTTCCTTCATCACAAGCTACTCCTAAGTCACCTTAGCTTGCAACTTTCCTTTACCCAATTTTCAGATTTTGCTGCCTTTCAGGGGCTCTGTTCCAGGATGCTTTCTTTTCTCTCTCTAGTTTTTCTTCATGACTCTAATTTTATATCTCCAGTTCAGTTTATTTCTTTGTGCTCCACACATATAAATAAGTGGTCTTCATTTAAGTGTCTTATAGACATCTCAAACTTAATGTGTCTTCAGTGTAGCTCTTTGTTCTTTTCTCTGACTTGTTCCGCTCCTCCCTCCCAGGTTTCTCATTTCAGTAAATGCTATTCTCCCCTACTGCCCAAATAGGAATCTAGGAATTATCATTGATGCCTCTCCTTTTACTTACTGCGCACCCCCCGCAGTTCTGTTGACTTCCTTTAGATTACATTCAATGTTACTATATTAGCCCTGAACACAAACGTTTTTTAAATCTGCATATTGGTCTCATAAAGTATCTTTTTCCTTTTACTAACCATCTCCCTAAACCATTCTCCTAGCACTAAGAATGGCCTTCTTAAAACATGAATTAGAGTATAATAATCTCTTACTTAAAATCTTTCAGGTTTTTCTTGGGCCTTCTTCCTTTTTGCTCACTAGATTCCACTGAAATTTAATCATCTTTCACATTCTTCTTTCAGGTACATACCAATCTCTTTTCTGCCTTTACACACTTTGCAGTGCTTTTCCCTCTACCTGGGCTTTCTTCCATGGTGTTATGACTTGGCTAGCTCCTGTTCCTCTCAATTTCTGCTCAACATCATTTCAAAGAAACCTTCCCTAATCATGCTACCTAAAGTGGATCCCCATGTCCATAATCTCTTATCTCCACCTTTTGTTTCTAATTACAAACAAATCGTAATTACTTTATTTGTTCCGCCAAAAGATGGAAGCATCATGGCAACAGAGACCATGTGTTCCTCATTCACTAATGTATCCCTGGCACCTAACCTGCTGCCTAGAACATGGTAGCTGTTTAATGTTTACTTGTTGGATGAAATGAGAAATGAAATAAGGTGGTACCTCAATACCTGTCAGCTTCAGAATTTGTCAGACCTGGTACCTGTCACTTTTTGATGAGAAAACAGTGTTTCCGCTTTTGGCACTTGCTCGCCACTCATCACACTTGCTGGAACTTGTATAAGTCTTGACACCACCCAGCAAGAGAAAATGCTTCATCAATCACCTCTTGCTCGCCATTCATCAGAATGAATTAATGATGAGTACAGAGGTACCACTGTACTGTCATTAGCAAAATTCTATAAAGTGAAATTGTAGAAAGTGAGAGTTTCATCCATAATAGTCCAAGTTGTTACATGAATTTTGAAACAGTAACCTCTGAAGGGTTTTTGGGCTATGGATTTTTTTTCAGGTCATTAATGTTACCAAAATCTGATATCTAAATAAAAGAAGATAATTTATTTTTTTACATTCTTTTTTTATTGCTGTTCAATTACCGTTGTCCCAACTTCCTCTTCCCCGTTGCTCTCCCATACCCTGTCCATCCCCTCCCACCCCTGCTCCTACAGTCACTCCCCATCCCATTGTCCTTGTCCTTTATACATGTTCCTTGACCCTTCCCTTTATTTCTCCTATTACACCTCTCCCACCTCCCTTCTGATCACTGTCAGTTTGTTCTTTATTTCCATGTCTAAAGAGAGATCATTTAAAAGCCCCATTGCATTTTAGATGAGCTAGCATATATTGTGTATTTCATAGAGCATTTTCATCCAAAAAACATTTGTGAAAAGCATACACAAGTTTTCTCTAAAGCCAACAGTTTTTTAACATCAACTAATAGTGGTTTCTTTGTCATTTCTGATGTTGTGTGGAACAGGATGCGGAAAACGCCATTCAACAGATGGGTGGCCAGTGGCTTGGTGGAAGACAAATCAGAACTAACTGGGCAACCCGAAAGCCTCCAGCTCCAAAGAGTACATATGAGTGTAGGTGTATTGGAGAAGAAAAGGAAATGTGGAATTTTGGAGGAAAATGCACTAGATTTTAAATGTTAGAGCTGTTCCCGGAGACTTATTGCAGAACTAGATGAGAAGACTACTATTCTAAAATGTACTTAGTTTTCATTTTTGTAATTACAAATAATAAATATCTCTAGTATCAAGTCTCCTATTAAATAGACAATATTGGGTAATTTTTTAGACATTCTTGGGGATGGTTTAATCTTCATTCAAATGTATTATGTATTATATAAGTATTTTGGTCAAGGTAAATACTGCCATTACAGTAGTGTAGTTAATGCTGTATTTCTGTTTCTGAACATTTTATTTAATGAATTAAAAATATAAAACTTTTTATCCCCAGCAAACACCAAACAGCTCTCATATGATGAGGTCGTAAATCAGTCTAGTCCAAGCAACTGTACTGTATACTGTGGAGGTGTCACTTCTGGGCTAACAGGTATGGGAGCTTTACTTGTGTGGTATCTTGAAATTAATGTTTCATCTGAAAAGCTTAATATTTCTAGGATTTTAATTTAACTCAATGGGTTTAAAAAAAATTTTTTTTTTTTGTCTTAACAGAACAACTAATGCGTCAGACTTTCTCACCATTTGGACAAATAATGGAAATTCGAGTCTTTCCAGATAAAGGATATTCATTTGTTCGGTAGGGGTAGTTTAAAAAAAAAAAGTTTTCCCCCAAAACTATTTTTAAATATTTAACTTAGTGTTTTTCTTAAAAATTTACCTTGGTTATAAAAAAAGAAAAATTTCTGTAGCATTTAGTGTATTTGCCAGTTTTTTTGTTTGTTTGTTTTATTTTGTTTTTAATAGCTCCCTTCTTCCAATGCGAAGCCAGTAAAACATCCTCTATTAAAAGAAGTTTCTCCAAGCCCTGGCCTGATGGCTCAGTTGGTTAGACCATCATCCCGTATGCCAAAAGGTTGCGGGTTTAGTCCCTGGTTGGGGGCGTACAGGAGGCAGCCAATCAATGTTTCTCTCTGTCTCTCTTTCTCTCTCTCTCTCTCTCCTTTCTCTCTCTCCCTCACTTGCTCTCTCGCTCTCACTCTCTTCCTCTCTCCCCATTCCCTCCCTTCTTCCCTTACTCTCTCCCCACGCACATTCCCTTCTATACTGTCACTAAAATCAATGAACATATTCTCCAGTGAGGATTTTTTTTTTAAATATTTCTGCAGAAGTACAAGATCTTTGGTGGGGTGGGAAGCAAAGAAAACATGCCATTTTATTAATTCTTACATATGAACTGCTTGGCTCAACTTGATTTTTAAAAATACTTATCCGTAAGTGTTTTAAACAGTTTATATTGAATGATTGTTAATATTGTTTTCGATAGATTCAACTCCCATGAAAGTGCAGCACATGCAATTGTTTCTGTTAATGGAACTACCATTGAAGGTCATGTTGTGAAGTGCTACTGGGGCAAAGAAACTCTTGATATGATAAACCCCGTGCAACAGGTGAGAGGGTTCTTGACTTTGCAAAGTAATACTAAGGTTATTTGAAAATGAAATTGCTGATAATCCATGTTAATAAGTTTCTAGTTCATACTAAAATGACAGTATATAAGGGCTCTTCCTACATGTATTATAGTTCCAGAGTGGTGGCTCATGGATTGCAGTTGTGACATGATGAATGTGACCGCCTCAGTTGACTCATACACAGTGGATTTTAAAATGCTCCGACAAACCTAACAGGGTATTAAATTTTTTCTTAATACTTGGTAGATTTATTCACATACTATTTGGAGAAATGACATGCATTGTTGACACGATTGGAACAAAAATATAGTTATGTTTAGGGCCTTGGCATTTTGCTGCTTTTCTTTTTTCCAGGCAGCTTTAGTGGTTAGCTTGATCCCATAAAGATTTCTATGAGGGAATTGTTAATGGAGCATCACTATAAATAGGAGTAAGAAAATCCTAAACTATAAGTTCTTTAAGTACACTGAATATAGAAATAAGTAATCTTTGTATCTTCCTTATCTAAAGGAAATAGTCATGAATAGTGTACGGAACATTTGAACATTATACTGAGTTTAATATTTATTACTAGAACATTACCCACTCACTGCCTTACAAAGAAGATGCCATTCAGAGCATCAGGTCAAGTCACAGCAATATAACCTCACTCATTTTTTTTTTTCTTTAGCAGTCCCTTGCTAAACTTTTGTTTATTCTTTCATTTTAATTATAATGATGGCTCTGTGTGCTATGGCTATGTGTATTAGTTACTTGTGGTATATTAGGACCTAACTTCAAATAATGCTAATAATCTGGTATGATTTTACTTAATAGCCAAATCAAATTGGATATCCACAAGCTTATGGCCAGTGGGGCCAGTGGTATGGAAATGCACAACAAATTGGCCAATATATGCCTAATGGTTGGCAAGTACCTGCATATGGAATGTATGGCCAGGCATGGAACCAGCAAGGATTTAAGTAAGCATATGTGCTCTTTTCCTTTATTATTAGCCTTTGAAAATGTCAAGAACTTTGTAAGAGATTTTAAGTAATTATTTGGCCCTCTTTCTAAGGTATAGCTAGCTTTAGCCTTTGAAGGACTTAGTTTAGAGTGGTTTATAATTTATAGTTTTAAGTGTATCTCTCTAAATTTTGCTTGGAAATATGTTTGCCTTGAAGTATAACCAGCATTACAAGAATTTGGGTAATGAAGCAACTAATATTTAAGTAAGAAAATAAGAGCTTGCTCTGGCTGGTGTGGCTCAGTGGGTTAAGTGCCAGCCTGCAAACTGAAAGATTGCCTGTTCAATTCCCAGTCATGGCACATACCTGGGTGGCAGGCAGGTCAGTTCCCCAGTTGGGAGTGTGTAAGTGGCAGCCAATTGACATTTCTCTCGCATATCGATGTTTCTCTCCCTCTCTTTTTCTCTCCCTTCCCCTCTCTCTAAAAATAAATAAAATTTAAAAAATTAAAGAAAGTAAGAGCTTTATAGTTACGAAGCTTTCTTGTAACTAAAGGTCACTTGGCCATTCTTTCATACAGTTATTTTGTTGCTGGTGTTTTTATTCATTCTGCTTTTTATCTGTGCAAAAGTGTTTATTGTCCCATGGAAACTTCTTTATACAGCCCAAATTATGTAATTTTGCTTAAATGTTTCAGAAACAAACTGGAAATTAAAATACTCTGCGGTTTTTATTTAAAAAATAATCTTGTATTTATAATGTTAAAAAAATTTATGAACTTACGTATGCTAATAATTGTTCTACTTTCTTCTTTGAGTAATATGTCATATCAAATGGTCAGGTTTATTTCAGGAAATGACATCCAATGTATGTCCAACCCAGTTGGACAGTATTCCTTCCTGAGATGAAAGATTAATTTTCTCTGAGGTCAAAGGAGATAAATGTTTACAGGTTAAGGGTATTTTCTTAGCTATAATTAAACTGCGCAAATTAAACCTTTGAGGATGCTTGTTTTTAAGAAGAAGAAAAAATTTTCCTTTGCTTTCCTTGCATAACAATTCTTATATTTGGGCTTAAGAAAAAGTGTATTTCCTTTGTATATGTTATTTGTTCTTTTCATTGTATTTTGTTTTAATCAGAGGATTCCCTCCCCTCTGTTTTTTCACATGCTCTACCAGTCAGACACAGTCTTCTGCACCGTGGATGGGACCAAATTATGGAGTGCAGCCTCCTCCAGGACAGAATGGCAGCATGTTGCCTAATCAGCCTGCAGGGTATCGAGTGGCAGGGTATGAAACCCAGTGAAAAAGGACTCCAGAATCTAAAGCCAGTGGCTTGAGGCTACAGGGAGTGTAGTAAAGCCGTTGTTTACTTAAAAGATTTATCAAATCAGTCCGTGCAAATGTCAGATATGATGTATTTATTTAAAAGGTTCATTTTTTTAATCATGAAATTACTTACCATCCATATTGTTTTAAAAAGAAACAAGATGCTGGATGTCTGCCAATTTTTGCCTTCATCAACTTTTTAATAAAGTTTCTCAGATCCTTGTTTCAAATACAAATGCAGGGATTGCTGCCACTTTTTTTAAAATTAAGAGGCAGAAAATTGCACAATGTTGAACTTTTTTCCACTAAAGTAGTGTGCAGTTCTAGTTTGCATTCCTAATATGATTTCAAAACATGTAATATAAAGATGTTTTAAAAAAAGTGAAAAACCAAAACTGTGCAAAGTCTTGAAGTTCTTTGTAATCTTCAGCTTGTGCACAATTCTGTTTTAGGGATTTTTTGTTTTGTTTTTTTTAAAGGTATTGTTTGAACTATCCCATCTCTACCGTTTTCCCTTTGGGGTTTTTAAATATAAATTATTAGTTTACATCATTTTTGTATCTACATTTTTTCACAAATTTGTCTTGCCTTATTAAAGTTCTGTAAAATATACTTAAATGGGGGGAAAAAAGTTCACTTAGATTGAAAACTTTTCTCAGATGGATTGTTAATTGCATTCATCTTAACATTTTATATGAGAAGGTGCCTCAAGAACTCCCTGTTGACTTTGTTTAAAAGAATTTTTATCTTGTGATAAATTTTGCTGTGTACCAGGAAATATAAAAACAAAAACTTGTTACTAAAGAAAATCTCTAAAATGTGATGAATTATTTTGAACTCATGCTAATTTCATGTGTCAACTTCTACATTTACATGTATTATTTCATTATGTAAAATGTTTGACCAGTTTAATATTTTGCACAGTTAGGAGACTTTGTATGTCATTCCCTTCTTAAAGGTATCATGCAGAGTTGACAGGAGATTTGTAAGGTTTTAAGTTGTTTGCATGTGAATATCAAATATACACTTTGGTAGTCCTTGAATGCAAAGTCATCTGCTCTTGTTTTCTGAGAATTTTGAAGCAAAGTTGTATGTAAAAAAACACATTAATTTGCCATTTTCTAGTTTATATTTACTCAAAAAGAGTAAATCAACTTAATTTTAATTTGTACAAATGATAGCTGTGAAACTGTAGAAAATCCTCATGTCAGGCATGGGGTTCGTTGTGAACTCCAATATTAGCCTGAAGGACCAACTCGGCAAAGCATTTTTTAAATGTTCAGAGGCCAAAAGATAAACAAACAAACAAACAAACCTTAAAATCCTACCTCTTTAAACAGCCTTCAAAGAGGAGAATCCTCAGTGCAATCATTATTTTGATTCTTTTGGTACCTGCTTCCCTGGAGTTCCCAATTTTATTATTTTGGGGTGGCTCCGAGCATTAAGAGGTTTAATCTTTGATGGCATTGTTCTAGTTTTGAAATTTCTAGTACATTTCAGAGTCTCAGATTAGTTTTGGGAGATTTTCTTTTGTTTCATTTCAGTAAAAGTCACAAACTCCCTTCTTCCTTGACTCACTAAGGGTCCCCAGTATACATATTTTGATGGTCAGTTGTTTTTAAGACCTTTGGAGAGCTCCTAGCATTTTACTTAGGAACAGAAACGGCCTGTGAAATTTTAGTGTTTCCCTGGCCAGTAGTATCCTCCAAGCAGGAGCAAATAAATGACTCTAAGCTGGTCTCTAAGCCAATACTCTTGTAAACCAGAGCCCAGATAAGGCAACTAGTAGGTATGTAATTCTCTGGAGCTCAATTCTATGCAGTTGTACTGATGTTTCATTAAGTCACTGTGTATTTTTAAGTGTTGTTACATTAAAAGTTGCTTTATGAAAGATGAGTAAAATTTTTTAAATACCTGGAAATTTTATTTCCTTGTTAACTTCTACAGATCAGGGCATGCAACCAAAAGCAGCTTAAGTGAAATACTCAAAAAATAAAATATCAGGAAGCTATTTTTAAATTCTTCTGTCTTATGTTTCTATTTTAGGACCCTTATTATTCTCTGTTTCAGAAATATTTTACTACACATCTGTGGAGTGCAGGGTAAATTATTTGGGCATAAATAATTTTAGCAAAACTATAGTTTTTCTTTCATTTTGACTATCTCAAGTAATAACACTTTTCATTAGCCAGTATATTTTTTTATTGCACAAATCTTAAAATGTACATTGACTACTTTTTGAAAAGAAAGTGGTATTATTCATGATGAAAAGGTTACTACTGAACAAATTCATATTTCAGGAACGTTGCTAAGTTTGGTTTAAATCTTACTCTTAGTGTTAAAACAAATTATTCAGAGATTTTTCGGTCTAAACCTACTGTCATTAGTATCAGGTAAGGAAATTAAAAGTTTTTAAAGTGGTTTTATTCTCTGCGATATGCATTCAGATTTTACTTTAAAATACATCTGGTACTGTAAAGAACCTAAAGTGATTCACACTTACTGAATGGGTCATTAATCCAGTATTTTTTTTGCCCTGTTTGGATATTAAAGTTCCTTTATGTTTTCTATAACCTGTGGGATCTTCTTGCAGTGATTATTGTGTGAATTTTTTTGTTTTTGGTCTAGCTATATTGTTATGTTCGTTCAAATATTTGTTTGATTTTTTTTTTAATCTTATTTCAGAAACCATGGTTTGCATTGTGTTACTATCTCATACCACAAAGAATTGGAATTCTCTAGATTAAGCTCCTTGTGAAACCAAGATCTCATTATGAAACCAAGATCTTATTCTCCTTGTTGATATTATCTCCCTGTTGAAAACAAGATTCACATTGTAGTTTTATTTTTCTCTTTTGTCCCTATGCTTTCTCCTTTTTCTTTTGTATGTGTGTTAGAGTTATATTACATTTGAGAAGGTAGTTGATAGGACTAAATTGCATATACAAAGAGAGGTGGGTTTACTAAGTGCTATAGGGTGTTCTTGAGGTCAGAGTGAGTTTGAAAAATAAAATGTATTTAGAGGAAATATAAAGCACACCGTTTCCATGAAAGAATGATTTCTAAAAACAAAATCATTTTTTGTATGGGGATTATGACATTTTTTCCAGTCACTGCATTTTACTAGTGTGTGTAGAACTTGGAGAATATACCTCTAAAACAAGAAATTTTCATTTAAGAGCCATAATAAAATGTATGTGTATGTGTCTCAGTGGAAGAGTATTTTTACATTACAGCCTCTGAAGTTGGAGGCTAAAGTTACTCTGATCATAATTCAACTAAAAAGGCAAAAGTAGACCTCTGACTCAGGTTACTAATCCAAAGAGAGATGCTGCACAGAAAATAGGAATTAAGCAGTTTTGCATATTGGGTAAATGAGATCCCTAGCCCCTTCTTATTCAGCTCTAGAATATAAACGGCCACACTTGCACACACTTGGCCGGATTTGGAGGATCCTTCTGTGGAATAATTAAACTCTTGAGAAAAGTAACAGTGCTGACATTTGAGGGTCTCCACCAAAAAGCCAAATAATGGCCACCAATCCCCCTACAGTGAGTGGAGTGTGCCAATCATTTAAGCCCTTCCCAAGAACACAGATCTTCAAAACTGGTTTTTAGTGCTTCTCTTTCAAATAAAGACAACCAAGGATCACCACAAATTGAGGAAAACTTTGATTGTAAATGGCAGATCCAAACAAAAAGCAACTATCAAGAATCAGAAAACTCAAGAACTGTAATGCCCTGAGATGAAAGAAGATACTGTATTTGAGAAATTAGAACAGGATACTAGTAAAATGTCAGATCAAGAAACTAGAGTAAATTCTATGAGACTATTAATAAAGACAAATATTCTAAGACAGAAACCAAAAGTAGGAAAAAAAATAAATATGGATCAATTCAGGAGGTTTAATACACAACCAATAAGAGTTCCAGGAAAGGAACTGAGAAAATAGGGGAATGAGTAGACTTAATTAGAAAATAAAAGAAAATTGTCCTGATGAAATGATTCTCAAGATTGAAAGAAGGCTACTGGATTAGCACAATAAATAAAAAAAATCCTTACAAAGGCATACCACCATGCAATTTTAGGATACAAGACATGACATAAAGAGAGTATTCTAAAATTTACTGGGCAACAAAAAGGTTGAGAATACTACTCAGCTCAAACACTGGAAATGGGATCAATGGGATACTGTCCTCAAAACTTTGAATTACCTATTTTGTCATAAAAGTAAAGGCATTTTTAGACATTCAGGTTCTCAAAAGATTTTCTTCCCATTCACTGATTCTCATCTACTGGATATACTGTTGAAACAAGCAGGTAAATGAGGAAAAAAATATGTACTGTCTAGAAACAGAATCTAACAGAAGAATGAAATAAAGGGATGTCCCAGGATAACTGCTGTGAAGCAACTTGGCACCCAGTCCAGATTGATGTTCAGAAGGCTAGACTTGATAATCAGACAGATTGGGCTATGCAGGTAATTATATTGGAGGATGTGAGAAGACACATACTGGAAGAAAATCAGGTAAAAGAAAAGAGGAAATTGTCAGGAAAAAACACTACAAGAAAGGAAACCATTCTGAGCCACGTAAATGCAATAAGATAATATTTGGGAAGTTTTTAGGAATTTTAACTTTTTGTACTATTCCACTGCTGCAGCTTTCTTTGAAATTCCAATTGTATGTTGGATCTCCTGTCTGCCATCTGTTTCTATCAATTGTTCCTCATTCTTTTTATCTTTTTGCTTTACTCATTTCTAAAGTCTGTTCCTTAACATGCTTCCTGTGGTATCCTGACTCGCTCGGGTTGGGCATTTTTGAAATGTTTTGTCCTCTTTCCTAAGTTCTACCAGTTTCTGTTTCACTTTAGGAACATCTCTTCACTGAACTTTGGTATTTTTTAGCTGCAATTGCTTCATTAGATTTTTTTAAATTGACATTGAAATGTTGGTGTATTTTCAACTGCTTTGTGGGAACATTTTTCCTGTGAGCTTTCTCCAGGGAAACTTAAGTTGTGCTACTCTTTCATACTTTTAATTAGAGTATCTTTGTACAGATGCTGTGCTATTCCTTTATTCATAGTTGAAACAATTGAGATTTCCTAGACTGAGTACCCATAGGAGAATGAAGGGGTCCTGTCTAGGTTTCTTACCTCCATCTTTTGTAGCTACAATGAATTATCTCTAATAAAAGTGTAGCCATGAGTGCTCTCTTGGGATATGACCTTGTTCAGAAGTTATATGCCAGCTCTGAGCTCCCCTGGTTCCTTCATCTACTTTGAGGGATCTAACTCCAATCCCCTAACTTGCTTTCTGAAACCATCTCTGAACTCCTAGGCACTTCACACACATCCCTTCCCTTCTTCCAGCTCTCAGATACTTGTTCAGTCTTCAGGGCAGGTTCTCTTCTCAGAGTATTTGCTGGTGATTTCTGAGGTCTGCCACCGCCCCCCCCCCCACCCCCCACCCCATCCTTATTCTCCCACTGCACTCTCTTTGCCTCCCATCCAGTACTACACTTCCATTCAATGTGGAGGTCAGTAGCCATGTTTTCCTTGTTGCTCTGATTTCCAGAAAGAAAGATCCAGAACTAAGCTGCTAATAACTGTTCTACCAGAAATCAGAAGCCCAAATCTTTTAAACATGTAAATCTGATCGTGACACTCACCTGCTTGAAAGTTTTTGTTTCGAGTTGTATTTAGGATGTAATCTAAAATATTTGAAGTGCAATCTATACCTAGGAACTTCACAGCAAGCAATTCTTTACGCTCCCATTTTAGCCCTTCCCACTCCAGTCTCATATTTGAGTTTCTTTTTTTAAAAAAAGAGGGGAAGAGAGGGAGAGCCTCTTTCATGTGACCCTACCGTCAACCAAACCTGCAATCTAGGCATGTACCCTGACCCGGTCAAAATCTCAGCATTTTGTTTTACGGGATGATGCTCCAACCAACTGAGCCACACCAGCCAGGGCCGTCTTTTAGTTTTTTCAATAAGGAAACACTATGTCAGGGTCCAGTCAGAAGACAGACCAACATTAAATATGTTTTGTTTTCTAAGAATTTTATTTTTAGAGAAAGGGGAAGGGAGAAAGAGGGAGAGAAACATCAATGTGTGGTTGCCTCTCATGCGCCCCCAACTGGGGACCTGGCCTGCAGCCCCGGCATGTGCCCTTGACCTAGAATTGAACCAGCGGCCCTTTGGTTTGCAGGCTGACGCTCAATCCTCTGAACCACACCAGCCAGGGCAAAATATGTTTTTTTTTAAGATTTTATTTTTAGGGAGGGAAGAGGAGGGAGAGAAGCATTAATGTGCAAGAGAAACATCAATCAGTTGCTTCTCGCTCACCCTAACCTAGCACCTGGCCCACCACCCAGGCATATGCCCTGATCAGGAACTGGACTGGCAACGTTTCACTTGTCAGGATGATGCCCAACCAAGCCGCACTGGTCAGGGCCCAACATTAAAGTTTGAAAGGGAAATTTTAATATAAATAGTTGTTTATTCACTGTAAATAACTAAGGTGGTAAACTACTAAAAGGGATCCGTAAGTTGCAAGGCTAAAAAAAGCAGCTACTACTTATAGACCGAGTAAGTGATGAAGGAATGGGCTGGGAGAACCCTGACAGATTCTGACCTCTTCAAAGAGGGCTTGATTACCACAGGACTGGTAAAGAAGCATGCCAGATGCCATGGGCCAGAGCTGGTTTATAGTACAGAAATACAGTAGTTCACCAGGAAGAGAAACAGCTACAGTTCCCAGATTTAGCAAATAAAAATAATTCTAAGTATTACATGGAAGATACTTATCCATGATAAATATTACTTTTTTGACTGAAATTCAAATTTAACTGGGTGTCTTGTATTATATGTTCATGTTTTTACAAAATATCTTTAAATCCTGAGTTCCCCACTAAACTAAAAGCTGGTGACTGTTTTCCTCAAAGCTGTATATTCAATACATAGCAAACAAATAATAGATGGTAAATATATGTTTGTTGAACCAATCAATTAAATTGTT